ATTTGTGAACCCATTTTGTTGATTCGTTTTTGTTGAAAGTAAATACTTATTCTACCACTGAGAATGATAATTGAGGGGAAGTTAGAAGAGAAAAGAAAGAGAGAAAACCAAGAAAGGCGTATAACGAACAAATAAAGAAGAAGATCTAAGTGAGTAGCTATAAGAAAGCCAAAGTTAGCTATGAACCGTAAAGAATGGAAGAGGCTACACCGACAAGAGTCTGGCTCTTAAATAGGGTAAAATTCTACCACTAGGGTTGCAAATTAAAGGATGAATCCGTTTTATTGAATTTCACCCATTTTCTGTTAGGATTCTATACAACCTCAAATGGCTTTGGTAGATTCCGCATAACAGGGTAAGTGTTGAATCGATCACTTTTGATCCTGAAGTCTCAAGAACCAAAAAAATATTTATTTGGAAGAATTATCAAAAATTTCTCAAAACTTAAAAAAAAACTCAGTGGAAATTGCATATGGCCAAAGGGTGAACGCCATAGTGCCAAAATATAAGGAAAAAAACACGGTGCAAGCAATTCATTGAGCGTCATTCGAATAGTTCTTTTGACGGCGGCGGCGATGGCTAGCAACCAATGTATATTGTTATTACCGAGTTGCAAGAAAATAGTTTTGTTTCGAAATTATAATATTGTATTGTTCAAAATGTTAGAAAATATAGAGTTTTAGTACTTACCGATGAAATGAAATCACTCCCGGAGTATTTTTTAGCGACATGATAATAAATAATGGCACAATTATAAAAACGGCATATTTATATTTTTTTCCACAAAATTATCACGTGTCACATTTGAACGACGACTGACGCGCTGTTGACACTCATATGCCCGCCTGGTGATAAGCTAGGTAACGCGGACCCGGGCCCACTAACCAGCCTATTACTAGTATTTATATGCCCTGTGATGAAAACTATATAATATGTTATGATGGTTTGACATTTAAGTTTCATTTTTGTATAAGTTTTTTTGCAAACATTTATTATTAATTTTAATAAAAGCATCTCGCTTGATTTTGTTTTTTTATTAATTTATTGTTATTAAGTAATCAATCCAGTAAAATAACTATGAAATCTTAACATAACGTCCTGTCAAATACTGGTATATTTGCCAAAGTCAACTATTGGGACATCAAAGATTTTGTCTGTCATAGGTACATGGTACAATTTTAGAAGTTGTGAAAAACTGGAATATTTTGATAATGCCACGATAATTTGAAATTTTAGAGTTCCTAGAAGATAAATGACAAACCGTTAAATGTGTTTACATTCCTAAGCAGTCAGTATGATTGATAATTAAGTACTTTTTTTGGCAAATACATGATTTTTCGTCTAAAAGTGTCAACCACTGGGACATTTACCTTACAGTGTAGGTATGTCATTCGACAGGTTAACATTTCAAGATCGCTTTAGCATCGGTGTTAAAAACCGTCTGTTTTAAACAAAGCGAGTCAAAATGCATCATATTCAATGACCACCACACCATCACACACAAAAGTGATTGTTATAACACAAAGGTGTCATTAACGCGAGATAACTCTGATAGCAGGGCATGGCCTTCCCAAACTAACATGGCCTCTGCGTTTTGTTGAATTTAATTACAGTAATGTGATATGAAGCCAGAAACTTTGATCTTCGAGACCAACATAATCGGCGAAAATAAGGTCAAAAAGACGCCATCACCTTAATCATGGCATGAGCTTATTATATACCCAGGCTGTCCCACGGCTAGGCGACACTGACGCAAAGTACTTTTTCTCAAACATGTTAATGTTTGCATTACTTTAAAAAAAACACGGAAATCTATATCTATCTAACTATAATATATAACTGGGTGACGAAATACTTTCATAGATTTCTCATAGATGGCGCTACGGCTAAAAAGTCGTTGAAAAACCAAATACAAAGATACGACGCAAGCACATAGAAAAATTCGTGAGGTCCTTTGATTCGTTACATGGCTTAGTTGGTATAGCGTCTGCCACGGTATGCTAGAAGACGTCGATACGAATCCGACCGAATCGAAGGAATTTTTTCTGAGAGTTCGATCTTTGTATTAACAATTATAACAAACACGGAAAGTTCGTCTTTCATGGACTGGGCGACTTTTTCCGGCCAAGGCCTGCGAAATGAGTATGAAAATACATTACTGTCCGCTACTCTAAACTTTTAAAAGTCGACACTACCTCAGCTCGAATTCACGTACTAATACGGCTCATTTTGCTTGGACACTGGCTTTATTTCCGAATTTATTTAACCTCAAACGAAATTTGAAAAATGTATGTCGTATTGTACACGTGTTCTATTTAATAATTGTTCGTGTTCTATGTAATTTTATGCAAAATGTTAAGTAGGAGAAGTCTAGAAGCACAGCGGATTCTTGTAAAATTTCGAGGTAAGTTTGTGTTTTTTTTATCGTGATAATTTTTTGGAATCGTGTTTTCATACCGTATCAGTGTATATCTACAATTTTACTATAATATATTTTTCCCAAAGTAATTGATTTAACGCTTTCACTGTTACGAGGTACGAGGACTCTTAAATATATCTACTAACAATTAACTATGTAAACAGGCAAAATAAAAAGCTCATACAGCCCACTGCCCAGTGTTCGTAATTGCGAGAATTAAAAATAACCCGCTTACTTTAAAAAAAAGGCGGTAAAATAAACTAAAGTGATTTCGTATATTTCTTTTCTGTTTTTTCGTCTTTTTTATATTTTCGTCGCGAAAATGATTTGTAGTCAGAAGAGCGATAACGAAAATACCATGGATTGTACTCCGACTAATTTAAAACAATAGACAATATTAGCTAAATGTCAAGTATTAGTTTTAATACTAATTAATATTTTTTTAAATTTTCTATTATACATCTTCCTCTCTTTAGTTTGAGAAAAGCACTATACATGCCTCGGCAGAGGGAATTGCTTGACTCGTATTAATACAAGGCCTCATTAGCGCTCAACCTTAGCCGGGTTCACGAGTCTTTCACTTGCGTTTTTAGCTTGCGTGCGTGACTCGCTTCGCGCATACGCAAAGATCTGTCGCGTACGCGCAGGTAGGACTGGTCACGAGTCGCTCGCTTGCGCCGGCCGCTTGCTTTCCGTTGTTTCTTTGCATTGCTTGAGTTTGATATCTAGCAAGCTTGATATTTCCACGCAAGCAACAAGGAACGTTTGCAGAGGACAGCACCACTGGCCAATCACAGAGCAGCAGCTGGTTCGAGAGTGTCGACAACCCAAACAAAGGCAAGGTGCCGCGCATGCGCCCAAATCTCTCCGCAACGCCCGAATCTCTCGGAAGACTCGTGAACATCTTTGTGCGGAAGGCAGATTACTACGCCACGCCGTGTACCCAGCCAACGCAAGCAAGCGAAAATCGCAAGTGAAAAGCTCGTAAACCTTATAACGTATACTTGTCCAGCAATCCCTTACTTCCCGACCTCTGCAGTAATGTACTACTGCTCCACGGGGGTCCTTATTTTATTTTTTAAAGTAAGTAATCTGTATTCAAAGACAATTGTCCGTTCTATTTTCTTAAATGCAAATTCTTAATTTTTCTATTAGTTCGCAGCCTGCAGATATTCTTAGCCAGTCACTATGAATATTAGAAATGATACGTCTTAATTTGCTTCTTGTGTAATAAATCTTCCACATACCCCACAAAAGCTCGAATATGGACAGTAAATGCATTATAGTTAATTTTCCTTAACTTAAATGTAATTTTTTTCACATTTCGTCGGTTCGATTCCTTACAAGTTGTTAAAAGTCTTTAAATGCATTACCTAGGACAGTACATACCAATGATCGACAATTAGAGGGAAGTCTTTTTTTTTCTTTTAAAATAAATAAATAAAGCACACACTCAACATAGCCCCGCACTAGGGAAACCCTGTGTCGCGGGTGCCATGGACACACACATAGACAACCACAAATTACACCCAAACTCACGAGAGAAATAAATGTAAGCCATACAAACATTTCTCCCGGCCCGGGAATCGAACCTGGGACCTCTGCGTGGCAGTCCGGCATGGTAACCGTGCGGCCACGGAGGCAGATAGGTCTGTTTAAATTTGAAATTACTTTTTGTTTTTAAACATTACCTATTAGTGATTGCTTTACTTGACGGATGTAATCCTTAAGAAAAAAAATGTTGTACTCGTAGTACAATTTCTAAAAACTGTTAATAAATTATAGTCTACTAAATAAAACCTAAACTAGAATTTCTCTAAATCCAGTAATGAACACCAAAAGTCCACTTCACGTCCAGCAACCAGTAATCGGCATTCACCAATAATGAACACCCAGTAATTGACACTTACAATAAGGTGGAATATTTTTATAGGTTATTTTTTGATAGGATTTAAAATTCTTTGCCTCTGTGTCGCATAGCCGAGAGTCGCACTCATGTCGCACTTCATATAATTTTTAAACGAATTCAAAAAAAGGAGGAGGTTTTAAATTCCTATTAATTTGTTTGTGTGTGTTTATTACGCGATAACTCGGACATTTCTAAACCGATTTCGATTATTCTTTTTTGTAGAAAATATTCCACCTCTAATGGTGGCAATTCAGGGGATGAATCTGATTTATTAGATTTCACTCACCTTCTGTTAACTGCTTTCAATAAAACTTTCAATATTACATATTGTTTAGAAGGATTATTCCATTAAATCCACTCGTATTTTTGCGTAAATAAATATATTAAAACTGTTTGGTACCTCGGTTTTTGAAAAGATACGGAATACAATTCCAAGATAACAGTGAAGTAGCTGTCATGAGAGGTCCATCGCCGCCTGGAGTCGGGTTCACTCCGCACCAAACACCTATTGTGTTTGCTCGGATGCTACAAGTAGGCGCGTATACACATAATTCCGCAAACTTTTGAAATCGGTTTATTTAATAAAAAAGTTCTATCCATTCTTTGTTTCATCATATTAACTAAACCTGTTGTGGTACAGTATAGATAAAAAAAGTAAAAACTATAACTCACCTCCATAATTCACCAATCCGGGCTCCCTTCCATTTCCAAAATCACCAACTGTCACTGGTCGTGACGTAATGACTTCTCCACCAGGCGCAATAATATAACTTGGAGCATTTGGTTTGTCCATAACGTTTTCATACACTGGTTTTACATTCTGTCCGTTATTAATTGAAGTTTTATTTGGTTTTCTATTGTTCTTATATCCTACATCTTCATTTTCAGGTCCATATGAATTTGGATCGTCTGGACGGTTGTTATTGTCAAATGTTGGTTTGTTATATAAGGGAGCATCATCGCTTGGTTTGTTATATACTGGAGCATCAGTGCTTGGGTTGTTATATGAAGGCGCATTATTGGTCGGTTTGTCATATGGCGGTCTATTATAGGACGGTACGTCGTTACTGGGTTTATTATACAACGGACGGTTGTTATCAAGTATGCTACTGTATGAAGGACGGTTAGTACTAAATGAAGGTTTATTGCCGTAAGGTAGATTGTCATTATGAGGTTTATTTCCATATATCGGAACGTCTTGGCTGTACGAAGGTCTGTTCCCTCCGTATGAAGGACGATCATCATTATATAAAGGCTTGTTATTTTCATAAGAAGGGCGATTGTCATTAAACGAAGGTTTATTATTTCCATATGAAGGACGATCATTGGCAAATGAAGGTTTATTCCCAGTATGTGACGGATGACTGTCAGCTACAGGCTTGCTTCCATAGCTTTCTAGATATTGCTGTGCACTTCCTCCATATTGATTAGTAGGGCTGTAAATATCCTGAGATTGCAATCCATAACCCTGATTGTTGAAATTACTTTGAGTACCATAACCTAAGTGACCTCCTGATCCTGGGTTATAAGGTCTATGGGTGTTTTGAGGCTTTTGCGACACGCCATAACCATCAAAATATTGACTCGACGACAAACTGCCACCATAACCGGGTCCTTCATCTAAAGGTGTCTGAGGTTTGGTATCTTGTAACGACCCATAGCCAGAACTAGAGCTTGGAGTGTTATAAACAGGTTTTTCTGGCTTCTGGTATCCAAAGCCAGTATCAGAATTGTCGTTAGGTTTATCTGGTTTCTTAATAGGGTCATTTAGGCCACCGTAAATGACACTTGGTGAGTCAATAGGTGGTTTGGAAGGTTTGTAAGTGTTCTGTGGTCCATATTCTGAAGTAGGATTCTCGTAGACTGGTTTAGGTGGTCTGTGGACTGGACGATTGTAATCATCAACTTGGGTTACAGTCCCATAAGAACTTTGATGGTTTTGACTTACATAACTTCCTCCATAGATGTCACCTTGTTGTCCATATGCGTAATTTTGGTCATAATTTCCATACATTGGCCTGTCATGCATTGGCTTTGGTCCGTACGGTCTTGAAGGATCATAAATGTCTAAATATATGGAATTGTCTTGATACTGATTTTGTGCATAATTACTAGCATATTGATCATGATAACCATACGTTGGCCTGTCTTGTGGCCTATACAGGTAATCCATAGGTCTGCTTGGCTTGTATGAATTTGGTGGATCAATAGGTCTTATAGGATAACTTGGACCATAGGAGTCAGGTTTTGTTGGATATTCTTGTACAGGTTTAGGTGGTCTATCGTATCCAGGGTCATTATCAGGTCTCGGAGGTTTCCTATTTGGTCTGTTTATGTATATGTATTGTGAATCTTCAGATGGAAATGCTGGTAATTCAGGTCGTGGTCTTATCGGTGTTTGACCATATAAATCCGGAATATCATCAACAAGAAATGGAGGATATGGAGGATCTGGTCTCCAATGCATAGGAGGTCTAGGTCTCCCATCTTGAAAATAAAGTACATCAACAGGTATAGAGTAATTTTGATAAGGTCTGTATATATTTTGTGGTCTTTCAGGTTTGAAGGGTATGTCTTGAGGCTTATGAAGACCATAGCTTGGAGGTCTATCAAAATCTGGTTTTTGATTAATGTAATTATCAGGTCGATCTAAATAATTGTAATACGGAGGTCTATAAGGAGAAGGTCTGACCTCTGGCCGAATCGTCTCAAAAGGCCTAAGATCTGATAAATATTCATCAGATAATGGTTTATTTGTGTCTTCAATCTCCGGACGAAAGACAGGTTTAAGAGAAGGACCTTCAATTGGGTCGTTTAATGCGAATTGGAGAGGAGAAGGTGGAGATTGTTCGCATTGAAATCTTCGAACGTAGATGTCATAATCTGGATCTCTAAGAAGCAGCTTTTTCTCATTTAGCTCCCTTTCATCCAAGTTGCTTAGTTCGCATGTTGAATTGCCCTTTGCTCCAACCCTGAAATGTTATTTTGAATCATTAATCACCAGTAGTTTTAATATCAGTTTTATAGAATTTCACGATGGTTTACTGCCGAGACATACATTTATTTCTTGTGAAATTACTCCTATAGTTTGAGGTTTGTTATAATTATTCATTCAAAGATCGAACACAACGAAAAATTCATTCTATCTGGCAGGACTCGAAACTGCATTAGCCCCCGTAGTATAGCGATAGCGAACATGGCGAGCACCGTGACGTCACATTTTTAAGACATCGCGAGCGCCGGCGACCAATGACTGCAAAATATTAACACAGTGCCTTAAAATATTAACATGGCTGCAAGGTCACAGCTGATTTTAAAACATTTGCACAGTAATTTTATCAACGTAAAAATTGAGCGCGATAAACGAGATGAAAAGACATTTTTTGTTTCATGGTTTTTCCGGCGATGATTAAACGGCAAACATAGCTATATACGCAATTTTATATCGTTGTCTTTGTTCTTCAAAATGTATAACAATAGTATTACCAAATAAGCAAACCTAAATTTATCTACTGAATTAAATATTGTCACATATTCTGCCATCCTACGGCCACTGTATGCCAATCTAGGGCCGCTACAGTTGCATAAAAAAAGAAATTTTCTTTATGTTAACTAAGTAGTTCGTTTTTTTTTAAAAAATACATTATTTTTATGGTGTCAAATTTCATGCCCAGGTTGATAATTTTACAAAAAGCCAATTTACATTTAAAAATTGATGGTCTCGTTAAATTAAAATAGATTGGCAACATCATTAACCTACCAACCAGTAACACAAGTGGCCTGCTAATCACGATCAAGACAGCATAGTCGGGTATTTAGTACCTATTGATATACCAGATGTCGCGACGATATTATAATAAAATAGCAGTTTTTGTAACAGATTTATTTACGTTGACAAGTTGCAATTTATCAAAGTTACTCTAATTTGTAGTGATTACAATGAAATCAACTAGATGGAGCTTATTGCACAGGTGTTTATGGATCGTGCCGGGTATACTTTTGTTTTGTTTAGGATTAGCCCCATCTACTCATATTAGGAAGCCTTAATTTATAAATTAGTTTCTTAAACACAATGCCGTCTAATGCCGCACTGTAATAAAATAAGCCTTTTACAAAAAAGGGTCAACATTTAGCTCATTTCATTCTACACTGAGGCAGTTGTACTTCTTGTAGTGTTACAAGGCGTGGTATTTTTATTTTATTTTATTTCAAATTTGTGTTATGACATGTCAACAAAAGCGAAGTGAGCGAAATTTTTAATAACAATACATAGGTAATAAAATTGTCGATTTTTCTTCAAATGTAAACTTGTTATTTATGTTGTTAACATACATTTATAATCAATTTTGCCAACATTACAATTACGTCAAGTAAAGCAAATGAGTGAATTAATGCTTCGTGCTTGGGAGAAACCGTTCAAGTGTGATATTTGCAATCCAGACGTTATAGTAAAAAATGTCATCTTAAGCCCCATTTTATTGATTCATAATGGAGAGTTCCAATAATACACTTATGTAAGTGTTGTCTTTTGGTTCACTAAGAATCCGCTAGAAGGCATTTGACGTTAATTCTGAATCGCGTTGTTAAAGTTTTCCCTCGAATGGTGACTACTCGAACACAATTTTGTTTTTGTTGAGAGAAATCGGAGAATACTGAGAGCTCAGTGAGGCTAACCAGGAGTTGGGTACCTTCTTGGGAACTGCTGCCCGGCCTGATATTAACGTATGCTCATATAGGGTGTAATTTTATTGCCCATCATATAGGGTGAAAATCATAGTCTCGCGGCACGCTTTCCAGGAGTCGAGTCCAACCGCCCGGACCTTCCGCATATAGGGTGGAATTGTGACTGACGCAAATAAACCTTTTTGTAACAACATCTTGGAGTTTTGACTTGGCTGGAGCTGCGTAACATCATCCCACGGTAAAGAGAACCTCCCTCCTTTACAGTGTGATATTTGCAACAAATTTTTAAAAACAAAACAAAATCTTTTACAGCATATTTTAAATTCATTCTGAAAAACACTTTATGACTGTGACCATTTAGTAATCTTTTTCAAAATATAAATAACTTGGTATAAAAAACATTTTAATACCTCATACTCATGTCAAGAGACAGGTAAGTGTCGTTTTTTTTCTTATCCCATGTGCCTTATTCATCTATCTTTTAGTTTTGTCCAAAAACTCTGCCATATACACTTATCTATCTAGATTTATTTTAGAAAACAATTTAAAAATATAGCTGTTATATACACAGTATCCCAGGCTGAATGCATGGGCATCAAGTTGACGGCAGAAGCAATCATAGCGAGAAGAGTAAAGAACTACTCCATTCGAATACTCTCCGACAGTATGTCAGTACTTCAAGCACTGAATAGCTATGACATAAACTCAGGGCTCATTTACGAACTCATGGAGGTATGTATACAAAACCACGTAACTCTACAGTGGATTAAAGGACACAGCGGCTCACGTGGCAATGACGCAGCAGATGAACTAGCCAGGAAAGGGTCAGAGACGAACGCTGTAGGACCAGAACCGATAGTGTCCCTCCCCTGCCAATGGTCCAGAACAACTATACACAAAGGTACAAAATCTTCACATAACGGGTCATGGTCCATATAATAAACAATTTAGGTATCACAGACAGCCCGCTATGCAGAGCGTGCATGGAGGGGGAGGAAACGGCTACGCACCTCCTACTTCAGTCCTCCGGCGTATCCAACTACAGGGCAAAGTACCTTGGAGTTCCAATGTCGCTCCCCGAAGTCTTCAGCAAACCAAGGAGGCTGCTGAGATTCCTGGAGGAGCTTGGGTGGCACGAGTAGGACCCTGCACCCACCACACGCAAAATAGGCGCTTTGTCGTCGAGTTGCGGATACCAGCCCGTTGCACCAAGTACCAAGTTTAGCTGTTATAATAATAATATTTTTTCACTTTTCATGCTCTTAAGTTCGTATTTATGCTGGGTGAAAGCTGCATAAAATAGGATTTTATGCTCTAGTGCATAAAATAGGTTTCTATGCTCTAGTGCATAAAATGAAATCGTGAAGTCGTTTAAGCCAGACACGCACACTAGAACTTTATAAAATAAAGTTTTACTTTTATTATTTTAATCCGTGTTATATTACAAAATTAAGGTGCTAATTACAAAGTGGAACAACAAGAAAATCCCGTAACTTTGGAGGCATCTCACATCCATGATAAAATACAAAGTAATACACTGAATATGCCAGGAAAACCATCACATTAAATATGTTTAATTGTTGTAATTTTACATTCAA